AAGGCTTTATTATTGACCATCGAATTGAATATTAAAGGTTGGATGACGTTATCCGCCCATTTTCTGACGTTGCGATCCACAACGTGTAAACGATTCCAAGAAATGAAACCTAAACTTTGTTTAACAAAAAATTTATGATTAACAATAATAGGCTCAATAAAATGAGCACCAGCTTTTGCTAGTAAATCTGCTTCATCATTATAAAGGTTATTACTATGACCAGAAACTTTGTGCAAAGTGACTAAAAGTTGCTTTTCTTCAATCAAGAAAAAGATTAAATCCCATATTAAAAAATTTGATTGTTTCAGTTTTTGTCGTGGACTAGCGACACCTGATTGCATACGCGTATTAAAAATGGTAATGCAGTTGGCTGAATCGGTATAAATATTGATTTTACAATTGAAAGGAGTTACAATAAGGGCCGTGAGTATACCCATGCTTTCGCTTTTGGAAGACGATGGGAAGAAGACTGTAGATCCACTAAAATTGACTCGCGGCGTGAAGGGTTGAACTTGGGTCCATCCGTATCCACTAATACTATGAGTTGTACCAATATGTTGGACAGAACCATCTGTGTAAAAAGTTAATAAATTTTCTGATTCTAATTGTTTTGCACAAGACTTTAATTCTACTTTAAGGTCTGGATGACAAATTAGAGCGTGATCAATATGGTTGTCTATATTATTTGAAAGTAAAGAAGGGTAAGGTGCAAAAACAGCGTCCAAAGGACGTTGTGAAGAAGTGTTCAAAGGGGATTTATCTATTTTAATAAAATGTTCATATGCAATATGCCTAAATGTGTGAAAAGGTTTCATAGCTACTACGAAATTCTGACGATTGTAAAATTCTAAAAGTGATTTGTGTTCAAAGGAAGATTTTTTGAAAATATTAAATAATAATAATTTTTGTGTTCTAATTGCGATAACGCATGTCGGACGAGCATCATGCGGATAGTAAGAGTGTAAAAGGCAACCCTTACACGCAACAAGTCCAAGTAATTGTTTTTTAGGTGTTAAACTATTATTATGATGAGTTTGTTGGGGTATAAAGTGTTGTAGATAAGAAATTGAAGTTAAATGATCTGTTTCCTGTGTTAAAGTCTTTCCAAAAATAACTTGTTTTTGGACATTATTCCAATGTATCGTCCATTGTGATTTGGGTGTTGTAACATCTGGTATGGTTGGGGGGGATTTATGTGTTCTATTGATGTCGCACACAACATCGTTAAGAGGGTGGATCAACCGTAAATTGTTACTGAGTACGTAATTGTCGGTTAAATTTTTGTACCATGCCGGGATTGGGCCACTATAATTGTTGTTATTGTTTCTTTTTACATCAGACCACGAGAGTAAATAATTCCCGTCTGATGAAACGATTTGGTCCATGTAAATAATGTTTTTGGCTTTGAGAGATTTAATGTCGGCTGCAGAAAGATCTGACATATAATCTCGTATAGGGGTATTTCCTCCTAAAATGTTAATATCGAAAGTGAAATTAATAGAAAATCCATATTGATTAAGCAAGCCCAAAGCTTGCGTTAAATAGGTAGGCTTGACTATATGGTCCAAATAGGTATTAATGTTGGACGGAATAGTAGGATACCAGATTTCTGATAGCGTATTATATATTTTCTGGGTCGCTATTTCTCGAAGAACCGGTGTATTAAAAAGTGCACCTAAAATATTAAGTTGTGATTTCATTTGGATATCAAAAAAATTATTAATAGATTGGAACATATGGTTATAAATAATATTATCCGCCGTATTTGACGGAAGATTCAAACGTTGTTTGAATAATCTTTTCAATGGTCCCATTAAAGATTGGCATTGTTTCGAATTAAGGATCGTATGTTGGAAAATATATTCCAATTTTGGTATAACTATTTTGTTAATAATATATTGTATATGGTGATGTGTTAATTTTTTGTTTTTCATAGTGTTGTAGTGAGCCATCACTATTTGTTTGCCTTTTCGTATCGTTTGCGTATGTTTATCTAATGCATTAATGTATAAACCTAAGATGCGTTCGCCTTTGTTACGAGGCGTGACAGGCGTTTCATATGGCCGATTGTTAATTGTGAGGATGATGTTCGGTTGTTTGATGGTACGGTCATTAGTTAAAATTTTGTATTTATCCATATTGACTTTAATATTATTCAGGTCATAAAAGGAATTGGCAATTGATAATTTTTCTTCAATTTGCGATTGTGAAGAGCCAAACCACGTAGTGTCGTCGAGATAACCTACTACGGAGATGTCAAAGGTATGAATGACATCATTCTCTATGTGTTGACAATTTTTCTTTTGTGTCGCAAAGGTGGAGTAATGTAAATGCGTTAATTGATTGATGCGATGAAACATCGGGTCATAGTATATATTCCAGAGAAGTGGTGAAACAACTTCGCCTTGGTCAATGCCTTGGAGAACTGCATAAGATGGCAGTAAACCGTTCGTGGTAATGATTTCATTATGTCTTTCTGTAAATAGATTAAGAAAAAAGGTAATAATGATAGCAGGAATCTTTAAGCGTTCGAGCGCCAACTTCAATAATCGTAAGTTGACGCGATCGTATGCTTTTGATAAGTCTTGTAATACGATCCAAATGGGTTTTTTCTTAATACGTGCGTGTTCTATTAAATGTTGTGTAATCATAAGCGGCTCTAAGGTTGATTGACCCAGGACGCCCGCTTTATTGTTAAATTGTAAAATTGAGTGTTTGGAAAGGGCTTGATTTAACCTGGTTGAAATAATATTGACTAGTAATTTCCTAGGAGTTTCCAGGAGAGTTATAGGCCTTGTGTTGGTTAGTTTACTATTCCAATCATATGGTTTCGGTATCGGAAAAAGCAACGCGTGTTTCCATTTGTCCGGAATTACTTTAAGTACAATACAAGCGTTGAAGATTCTGACGAGGATCATTAAAACGTCCTCGTGTAAATGTGTGATATCTTCATATGTGATTTTGGAAGGACCTGGCGCTTTGTTGTTATTCAATTTTTTGAAAATGGAGGAAAGGTCCAATAGAGTGATTGGTTCAATTAAATGATTCCACCATTCTTCGTTAACAGTTTGTAAAGAAGGATCATAATGATCTTTCCAATCTTGTGGTAGGGAGTCTAAATTCCAAATATTCTTTTCATTTGGTGGCCCCGCTTGATGTTGGAAATGTTTGATGGCTTCTTTTTCTATAATCTCTGGGTTATTAGTAAATACGTGTTCACCTTTGTTGTCGATAAAAGAAAGTCTATCCAGCACTATACGGAGTGGTTTACGATTTAAAATAGAGTTGATCATTTTAGTTTGATCATGTTGTAAATTGTCATTGCGTTCTGTGACATAAGAATTAATTTTGTTGGTAAGGTATTTATCGTACGCAGATTGGTAAGCTATTTTCATCGTATGATATAATCGATAAATTTCATCCTTTGTTGATACAAAATTATCAGGAGTAACCGTTGATGGTAAAGTGATTGATAATTTATTAAAATCTAATAAAATCTTTAGTCGAGGGAGGTATTTCATCCATCCTTCATAATAGGTGGCCCATACATATCGTGGAATGTTGTGGAGGGTTGAAAGTGTGGGTGTGAAATTTAATTTAAAACGAATTTTAATATGTTTTAAATTTAAAAATTGTTTCACTTGATATAAAAGAATCACGTGATTATTCATTTGTCGTAATTCAAGAGGCAAATCTAAGTTTGATGATGTATTAGAGTTAATAGATTTTTGTGGTATGATATACTCTTTGAGTTCGATTAAGGTCTTCTCGAAGAGATTCCATTGTCGGTTTAAAGTATTTTTGTTATTAATTTGTTGAGGTTCTTTTGAGAATCTTTTTTTGAAAGTTGAACGGCTACGATTAGTGTAATCAGACCATAAATTAACAGTCATTTGATCGTATTTGAAGACTTTCTTAGTATCGTCATTCCGCTTATTAAAAGGAAGGACGTCCGCGAACTTGTCAAATAAATTCTTATTTCGTGAATCAAAAAAAGTTTTTTCTAAAAGGGTTATAACAATATTGTGATCAGTATTAAAAAAAGATTGTGGTATTGATTGTGTATATGAATGAATTGATTGTTCTAATAAATTCGTATTTCCATAGTGATAATCGATTCTATTTGTACTATGGGTGGAGTTATTATCTAAGGATACTTGATGGTATTTAATCATATCTTTGTATCCGTTATTTTTAAGTAAACGGATAGAAGGATAATTCGGGTCTGATTTATTCTTTGTGGTCACATTAAAATCGCCAATAACAATGGCGTATGAGTTTTTGGTGTTGTTAGATTTAATGATTAGTTTGTTCAATTTATCGACGCAGACAGCGCTGATTTTGGTTTTGGTGGCATCATTCTTAGGACTGGATGGTAAGTAGCAACAAGTTACGTTCAGTTGTTTTGATTTCTTAAAACCGAAGATAAGATTGATGATACGTCCTTCTAAAAATTCTGTATGATGAAGATGTTTTTCCATTTTGTCGGTAATCATGATGGCGACTCCAGTGCCTTTATTAACGCCGGAGGTGTCGTGAACTATATATATAAAATTGTTGGGTAAAGTAGGATGTTTGTGTTTGTTAATAATGGTATTTGATTGATCTCCAAAGAGACTAGTTTCCGCTAAACCTAGGATATCAAAGTTGTGTGCGACAAAATAATTAATAATGTCGTTAAGTTTGTTGTTAAAGGCTGTTTGAATATTAATACTGCCTATTTTAATATAATCAATAAAAAAATTATTATCATTAATGTTATCTTGATTGATCACATGTAAGTTTGTAATATGTTCTTCATTAATCAAGTGATCGGGATTTTGTGACAAGGAGTGTGAAATATTAGGAAAGGGATCAGATATATTTAGGTTGGTGTGTGACATTATTTAAAATATGTTTGAAATTGGGATGTGTATATACCAGAAATTGGGATAAAGACAATAAGGGGAATCAAAATGTTATATCTAAATTCTTTATGATTATAAAGAATGAGTCGCAAATTAAACCTGAGGTTTATTGCCCCAGTTAAATGGGTTGAGGATGAAGCTCGATTGTCCTGAAGTAGCTTGATCGGATGCTTCATATGTATTTTCAATGGTGCCTGTATCGGAGATATCTCCAGATTCCGTGTAATATTCATCGGAAAGCGGGAGTGCATCACTATCAGTCATTACCGATTCAGTAGATGGTTGGGTGAATCGTTTTTTTACATCCTTCAAAGGGGTTTTTTCATATGGGGTACTAGTACGTTTGGCTTTCCTAGCTGGTTGTTGTCGGGTGGGTGGGGTTTGTGATGCTTGTAAAGTGTTGATGAGTGTTTGCATCTGGGTCATCAAGGATTTATGTTGATTTTCAAGACTATCTTGTCTATGCGTAAGCAACGCTATATTAGTGTCAATTGTGGTTAGTTGTTGGTGGTGCGAGGAATATTGTTCTGTGAACGTTTGGTGGGAACCCTGTAATACGTTAACGTGGTTTGTTAAGGTAGTAATTTGTTGTTCCATAAGTGCAATTTTATCTAAGATTTCTTGGGGCAGTTGTTGTTGGGACCAGGATGACTTAGGTTTCTGATACGTCCTATCTGGGTGATTAGTAGTGTTGTTATATGTTTGATTTTGTTTGCCTCGAGTGTTCGGTTGGGGACGAGATTGTCCGTTTGAGTTACCAGGATTATCTTTGGAGAGTTTTATAACATGGTTGTAAGTTTGTCTGGTTGTTTCGTTGACGAGTATACGATCTTTGTTACGTATGATGAAACGTTTTTTGAATATTTTAAGTTCATTTTTGTCTAAAACGAAATCAGTACTAGGGCAGTTTTTGTATTCGTGTGTATGGTTACCACATACATTGCAAGTTTTTTTGGTGTTAGTGTGTGGAAAAATGAAGATTGTGTGTTCACCAAATTTTGTACCCGTAATTGTGGTATAATCTTTTTTGATATCGTTTGGGTGGACGTATATAAACGCGTTCTTGAAAAAAGATGAGCGTGAGGTTTGAGTAAAAGTACACGTAAGTCCCTTCAAGTGTGTCACTAAAGGGCTTAAGTCTCTTGCGTTCGTGTTTAAGGGTAGACCAGTGATTTTGTAGAAAGAAGAGGTTCGTTGTGTGTATATTGGATGTTTTGGATTGCCTGGTAGGATTCTGGCTACTGAGTCCTCAATGGCTAAGCACCAGTCTTGTTCTAATAAGTAATCTGCTGCAGCCTTGTCCTCAAAGCTGATTATTAATTGTTTATAAATTGGTTTGATAAAAATTGGTTTATCATTTTTGTTGCGGTTTTGGATTCTTTGAGGTGGTTTTTTGATTTCTTTGTAAGTTGTGATTCGTTTTTCCGTTGCGTCAGTTATTTGTTTTATCAATAACGTGGCGTCATAATTGATAGGGATATCTAATATTTTGATGATAGTGTCATCTTGTAATTGGAGTTTGCGTTCAATTAGAGTATCTATATTTTGTTGTGTATATTCATAAATTTTAACATTATGAAGGGTTGGAGGTGATGTTTTGATAAGGTGTGACAATTTTTCTTTGGTCGACACAGATATCATATAAAATTTGAACGTCATTTTTTTCAAAGATCTGACTTTGATAAAGTCTTTGTCTCCGACAAAGATGGTGTTAAGTTTTTGAAGAATTTCTTTGTCTGTAAGTTTTGGTGGAAAACTATCTCGTGGGATAAACCCTTCAAAGGAAGTTTGTATTTGTGTGTTTGAGGCTGAAAATATGTTGTCGATCATGGGGATTTCCTCCATTGGTGGTGGATTGCCATTAACGGATGTAGATCCTTCTGAAAGTTGTTGTGTTTCATTTTTATTGGTAAACTCTATTTCCATTTCATCAATCGTTTCAACGATTGGTGTATATGGTAAGTGGGAAGTGGAGTCACGTGTTATTGAAGAAATATTCCCAGGGACTTGCTCCACGGAGGAGGAAGTTTGAGAAGGTTGAGAGGGTGAAGTCAAAGTAGGCTCAGCTGTCTTTTGACTATTATTATTGTTAGTTGTTGACGTGTTCGACATTTTTCTATTTTTGTTATTTATAACATTAGGAGCGAAAGTTCTGTATATGTCTTCTTTATCGGTAGAAGAATGATATGTTTTTTCGATATTTTTTAAAATTTTTTGAGAAAACTTGGAACGAGTGTTTCTGCTCATATAGGTAATGTAAACAAGAGTGTAGAGTCCGAAAAATCACAAATTAGACCAGGTTTATATGTAGAAAAAATAGTTTCAATAGTATATTTCTTTAGCTAAAAAATGGTCAGAGTGATCGTCGGGAAAGGGTTCTTACTGATCGGTCCGTGGGTTATCCGTGAACCGTAAAAAATATAATATAACTTTTAAAAAAGTACAATAGTCGTCTTTGGGTTATATCACGTGATTTTATATATTAACTATGTGAAAAATAGAAAACATGGATGCGGTGACGAATATTATAAAATCACGTGATCGAACCGGTATCCACTTTTTGGAAACCTGTATTTGAATATCCTGTATACAAAACTCCTTGTTTTGGTACCATGTAGAGGATGCCATCTAAACTCTTATTACCCACATGATTTACGTCCAACGTGCGTAATCGCCATTAGGACACCAAAAATCATTAATATTTAATGTTTTTACAAAATCTTCTACAGAACACAAATCTTTATTACCTTTTTATAATAATCAAATATTTTTTGTAGCTACCAAACCCTTTCATACTTTAAGACATTTAGCTTTTGACCATTTTATTAAATTAGATAAATCCCCTTTAAAAATTATTACACCAACTACTGTTGATGTTTCTTTTACATCAATGGAGATTACTTACTCCAAAAACGTTTTCGATCATATCGATAACGCGTTACTTTGTCACCCTATTATCAAAACAGAGTTAAAATCCTGTGCCAAAATATTAGAAAATGAACGGTTATTAACTTTTTATACAGATGGTTCCGTTCAAAATATAGGTGGCACGCACAGTTTAAGTGGATATGGATGGACTCAAGTTCAACCCTTTACACCTAAAGTTACCTTTAAGGGATCTACCGTTTTTTTTCCCATCATCAACAAAAAGTGAAACTATGGGCATTCTTACAGCAATTATTGTTTCGCCATACTACTGTAATCTGAATATTTATACTGATTCAGCCAGTTGTATCCAACTATTCAACACAAGACTTCACTCACCAGTGATCAGCCCACGACAAAATTAAAACAGACCAACTTTCTCTTGTGGGATTTAATTTTTTTCTTGATAAATGAGAAACATTTATTAATTACGTTACATAAAGTAACTGGACATAGTTCTAACGCTCATAATGATGAAGCCGATCGTCTAGCTAAATCTGGTGCACATCTCAAAGAACCAATTATTATTAATCACAAATTTTTTTTTAAACAAACCCTGGGCATTGTCGCGTGGAATAATTCCCATGTGATAGATAGAAATGTCAGAAAATGGTCAGATAACGTTATTCAACCTCTCATCTTCAATTCTATGATTAACAACAAGGCTTTATTACCATCAAGCAACAAATTTTAAATGGCGACATAGATTGGTCAAAGAATGGTTACAACATAATCCAACTGACGCCCTGTGTGGCGCCAAATTATCCAAAATACAAGGCAACAAAATCAAAAAATGCAATTTCATATATCCGACTATAGATATACAACAAAGAAATTATCCGCGTCTTTATCCTATTGGAAATATTCCGTGCAAGGATTGTAACGATATACAAAATTCCAACGCACATATTGGTATCTGTCATAATCATTCAAACGATATTATTACACTATTACTGGACGAAGGATATAATTTACTTCAACTTATTCGTGACAATACGAAAGAAACACCTTACGCTTTGGAAGCTACTATTAGAAGTTCCCGCTTTTTTGATACTAACTTTAATGGTCCTTTATTGACCTCACATCCTTGTTATTTATTAATACATAACTTGGTCCCGACTCCCGAATGACCTAACTAGGATTTTTTATATTTATATTAAAGACAAAAAATTACGATTTTCACTTTTTATTCAATTCATCACCCAGTTTATGGAAAAAATTGACGTTATAATTTGGAAACGTCGAAACACCTGGTTAAAGCCTGGGAACGGTCTTTATCTATTACAAAAAACAAAAAACGATTCTACCGACCACGAGTGTCGGTGCATATTCAAACAACACCCATTGAAGATAATGGAACAAATCAATCACCACGACGCGTTTATACACATCGACGTGCCACCTCTTCTCCTTATTCGCGCGAAGGGGTTTTTTATAATGATCGTGCCCATATTAGATGGACATCAAGTAATTTTCTACATTCAGGAAAATGGACCAAACATAGAGATAATTTTTGGTTCGATAATATATATTTATTTTCTTTTTTAAATCATAACTTTTTGGGTAATTTTATAGATACTAGGTAGTATTTTTTTTTTTCTATGTTAGCTCTCATTTTTTTTTATTTTATTCCCGATTGGCAGGTGGGTTCTGGGGAAGATCTTGGATCCGACCCGTTCTCATTTTTTTTAAAGGTCAGGAAACGTCGTCTTATAGGCGGCTTGATTGTTAGTGATAGAATTATTTTCGACACATTTGTATGTTGTCCTTGTAATTTTTACTTCAATTGGTTTTTCTGTAACATAAAAATAAAAATAAAAATAAAATATCCTGTATACAAATAGAACTTGCCGAAAAAATATTAATTAGCCAGGCCCGCGTGAAACCAGCTAGTTTATTGATAAAAGAAAGAAACCCAATATTATGGGGTGTCAGGATTATAAAATTCGAGATTATGATAATTCGGGATTTTGACAATTCGGGATTTTGACGATTCGGGATTTAGAGTGTCGGGATAACGTACCTTCGGGATTTCGAGTTTCGGGATTTTGGACGGATCCCGGTTAATAAACGTAATTAATACGGAAGGCTCACAATTAGATAATTACGTTCAACAATTAGATTAATGGCAATATTGATTAATACCATTTGAAGCAAATTATTAATTTCATTTAGTTACTTATTAGCTTAACTCTGTAAATTGATTACGAGTTGGTAAAACCATGTATCATGACAATTTAATTTGAAATAAATATACGATTTTATTAATAGAATACGATACGATACATAATTAATGACATACTATAAAATTATATTTTTTTAGATTAATATTTTATTTATTTTGCTTTAGGGGGAAATTTTGGTCCATCTTTAGGACCGGGACCTTTTGGACCATCGAAATCTTCGCCTTTTGGACCATCGAAATCTTTACCCTTTGGACCTTTTGAACCTTTTGGGCCATCGAAATCTTTACCCTTGGGACCTTTTAGTCCATCAAAATCTACACCTTTGGGGCCATCAGGAAATTTACCAGGAGGAGGTGGAGGAATTTTTGGTTCATCCTCATTGCCTCTTTTATTAATAACACCATTTTCTATGTTTCCAATTGGTGTGGCAACGGAACTAGCAGTGAAAAGGGCTAAATTTATAGCCAAAATTAGAGTGTAAGAGAGCTTCATTTTACGAGATTTTGAGCGAAATATTTCTAGAGGGTATTGGATAATATATCTCTATTTTTTCTATAAGACAATTATTATATGTAATTTTGTTTTTTTCTTTTCAAGATATTAAGCTGACTTGAAAAAAACTGAAAGAAAAGAAGCATCATATTTATATAAAATTCATCAATATAATCTTTAATTTAAAAATAGATAAAAATTTACCAAATAATTAAAAGTCGTATGTTACCAAATCGGTTGCATAATTTGAAATTTTGAATAAAAATAAATAATTATTAGTGCATTCGAAATTAAGGTAAAAACCTTTCAATGATAACCAATAAATTATCTGGACATATCCTTGGCGTATGTAATGTTTTGAAGAATTTTAATTGCTTGCGAACGAATAAAAAAAAGAAAGATTTGTTTATGCATAATTCCTACAATAATACCGATTTAGAATTGTTTTTCGTGTCAAAGTAATCACGATTCCCCTCTTTTCATTTCTTCTTTTACTTTTACATAATTCTTTCTCTTGGGCAAATGTATCGTTCTTATACGATCAGGTGCTATGTTCTTATACGACGTATATGTCACACAATATAGGTCGTAATAAGATAGTATGTCGTACACGTATAAGAAAGATACATTTGCTTCTCTTGGCTCATGTGTGTGAAAATTTGATATTAAATCTATCAAATCATATATATGATATGGTTACACGCACAAAAATCCAAAAGTCTAAAAATTTATTCCGTAGCAAGTCGCACAAGTCGCACAACTGTGTTTTGCAGAATCACAAAAATCTTGGCTGAATTTAACAAAGATGAGTTGATCATCGCAATTAGAGCCAAGAACGTCACCTTTAAAAACTTTCAAAGTTTACGTTAGTATATTTAGCATTTAGCCTCAGCCAAGAGCCAAGAATTTAATAGAAGTTAGAAGTTCTAGTACCGTTCGAAAACATTCACATAGAATAAAATGATAATTGATTTAGCAACTTTGTGTTTTTGTGAAACTACTATATTTTTTAATTTAATTATTAGTAATCTTATTTAAATTATAATTGTATAGTATGATAAAATTTTCTAGATCTTGAAGAATTATTTTCATAATCCATAATTATTCTTTATTTTTTTTTTAAAAAAAAAAATTATTTTTGTTAACGTATATTACATGTAAAGGGATGAACCCGTATTCCACGAAATTCATTGCCTCATAAGGAAAACAAAAAAAAAATTCCATTCGGACTAGGTCGATTACATAAATACAATCTTGCAATATGTAAGGAGTTTACTTAAATTTGATAATTTTAATTATAAAAAAAGAATGGTGAGCTATGTATAAATAAATGAAACGATCGACACACGACACGTGTCCTGCAGATATTAAATTCAATTTGTACAAACTTAAAAATTTTTAGCTTTTAGTCGATAATTAAAATTAAATTATTTAGCATTACGTGCATTAATTAGCTAGTTTACCGATAAGATTTTCTAAAAATTAAAATAGTATTATTTCTTTTTATTGTTACAGTATTGTTTATATTGTTACTTGGTTCTTGGCGAAGAAAGTTACAAATTATTCAATCCAAATAATCTTATGATTTTTTTAACACAATGGCGTGATGGTGATTATTAGTAAATGTTTTTTGTTTAAATCTAATAATATTATAAAAAACTTGTTTTTTAATAAAATCAAACTTTGATGTTATTAAGTTAAAAAAAATATTTTAATAAAAATGTTCGTTTTTAAATTTTTTTTATTTTTAATTTTAAAAAAATATATTGTACTAAATTGTGGATTTGTGTGGACCACTATGCAGTCTATGCACAATTCCATTCTAAAATCTGCAATATCTGCAATATTACATTAATTGCGGCATCATCCTTGATCACAATCAATTTCAAATTACAGCATTTTGGCGATTTTCATCAATTTTAATTTTGACACTTCAGCATTTCGGAAATTTTACAGCAATGAATAGTGGCCCAGGAAATGACTTAATCTCGGAAAATTAATTTTAATTTTCGGGACCATATTAATTAACTGTTAATTAATCAAATTATAATTAACCATTAATTTTCTATCCCTAATTACTTAAATTGGTACGGTCTCAAAAATTATGCACAATCCTCCAGATTTTTTTTCTCGTAAAAGGAGGTGCTTTAATTTCGAGATTTTACATAGTCAAATGGACCTTTATTTATATATTACGCCATTAAAATCATTCCGGTATAAATTAATTTATTAAACACAAGAATTTTATTTGAAATAATGCAAAAATGCTAAAATTTCTAATATTCATTTTTTTGCAACTGAATATTCAACAATCTAAATTTAATTTATAAAATGATAATTATGAATAACGAAAAAAATCATTTTTTCTTTGCTTTTTGTTTTTTAGAAATATATAGAGACATGTACCCGAAGATACATACTATAGCTAACCATTCTATCCATGAGCTAATCTATGTTATAACTAAGGTCCTAATGCATAAAGCCTATCTAAATCTACTAATATTCAATAAAAACAATAAAAACAAAAAATTTGTAAAATAATAATAATAAAACGAAAACAACAAAAAGAAAAACAATAAATCCTTAGTAATTATCTCGAACATTTTTTTTTTTTGTAGATCTACGCTGATTCGATCTAAATTATTTACTACTACTATTATTATTATTTTACAAATCTTCATGCCTTGGTGGTGGTGGAGCTTGACCATCAGCATGCAATTTAGTAGTTATCGGATTAACGATAGATTGTAATTCTTCCCGTTTTTCATCAAAATCTTCCTTGATCGCAGAATTTGAATGATCATTCAACCAATCTTCAACCGTCTTAATTGAATCTTTAATAATTTTCCTGTCGTCATCGCTTATTTTCTTACCAAGTCCTCTGTCATCAAAAATTTGACTTTTGATTGTGTATGCAAAATTTTCAAGTTGATGTTTAGCTTCTATGCGTTCCTTTTGAATCTTATCCTCTTCAGCAAATTGTTCGGCTTCTTCAACCATACGATTAATTTCTTCTTGAGAAAGACGACCTTTATCGTTTATGATTGTGATCGATTCAGTTTTCCCTGTACTTTTATCTGCTGCAGATACTTTCACTATACCATTGGTATCAATTTCAAATGTAACCTCGATCTGTGGTATACCTCGTGGTGCAGGCGGTATACCTGTTAATTCGAACTTGCCGAGCAAGTTGTTTTCTTTAGTCATAAAACGTTCTCCTTCGTAAACTTGAATTAATACAGTAGGTTGGTTATCCGCGGCGGTAGAGAAGATTTGTGACTTCTTAGTAGGGATTACAGTGTTACGAGGAATTAATTTTGTCATAACGCCACCAGTTGTTTCAATACCGAGTGTAAGAGGACAAACGTCTATTAAAAGTTTTTTTTTCGCAGTTCCGGAAAGTATACCTCCTTGTATGGCGGCACCATGCGCAACCGCTTCATCAGGATTAATATTTTTGGAAGCTTTCTTGCCATTAAAGAATTCTTCAAGTAGTTGTTGAACTTTGGGAATACGTGTGGAACCACCAATGAGTACAATATCGTGTACATCCTTCTTATCAATATTTGCATCTTTCAACACTTGTTCAACGGGCTTTAATGTTTTACGGAAGAGATCATTATTAAGCTCTTCAAATTTGGCTCGGGTCAAAGTTTCGGAAAAATCTTTACCATCATAAAATGATTCAATTTCGACACGAGTTGACATTTGAGAAGATAATGTACGCTTGACCTTTTCAACTTCACGCTTTAATTTACCCATAGCTTTTAGATCTTGTGTAACATCTATTTTATTTTTCTTTTTATAAAGTTTAACGAAGTGGTCAATAACTCGGTTGTCGAAGTCTTCGCCTCCCAAATGTGTATCGCCGGCAGTTGCCAATACCTCAAAAACATCATCTTCGACTGACAAGAGAGACACATCAAAAGTACCCCCACCAAGATCATAGACAAGAATCTGACGTTCCCCCTCGGATTTATCAAGATCATATGCAATTGCAGCCGCCGTAGGTTCATTTACAATACGGAGGACATTAAGTCCAGCAATTACGCCAGCATCTTTTGTGGCTTGTCTTTGAGCGTCATTAAAGTAAGCTGGGACTGTAACTACTGCATGTGTAACATTCTTGCCTAAATATGATTCGGCAATTTCTTTCATTTTACCAAGAATCATAGCCGAAATTTCTTCAGGAGTAAATATTCTTTCTTCACCTTTTACAGTAACTTGAATAACAGGTTTACCATCTTTGTCAATGACCTTGAATGGAAAGTGCTTAATATCTTGTTGAACTTCTTTATCGCTAAAACGACGACCAATTAGTCGCTTAGAATCAAAAATGGTGTTCTGGGGGTTATTTGAATATTGATTCTTTGCCGCATCACCAATTAAACGTTCATCATCAGTGAAGGCAACATAAGAAGGCGTGATACGGTTACCCTGGTCATTGGTTAATATCTCAACTCTTCCGTTTACGTATACTCCAACACAAGAATAAGTTGTTCCTAAATCTATACCGATAACTGACGATACATGAAATATAATATTAAAATTTATGAGTTTCGAAAGAACAATATTTAGCAATTAATTTTTATACCTGTTCCAACGTTAGGTTTCTCATCAGAAATTACTATTACATTAGGAATAGTTATTAACAGTGAACATAACACTGCAATAAATTTAAAGAAAGTAGCTTTCTTCATTTTAAAAATGTCCAAGAATTATCGAGAATAGACAGCTACAACAGAATTTTTTAACCGGACAATTACGATGATAAAGTATAGTATCTTATATAATGTTTTCTCGAAATACATTGTTGGTATTATTCTATTGGTTGGAGATTATTTTTAGTGTTGTCAATTTGTCAATTAATATGACAGATGTGTATGATGTAATTTAAATTTATGTAACTAGTTACGTGTCGTAAAATGGTTCAATAAAGGACCCAATATGGAGTTTTGTAGATCCATCCTTTTTTGGATAATACCAGGCGGCATTACGTAATTCCGGTGCGTATGCACTATAACTAATAGTAAACGAGTGCCAAATATATTGCTCAGGTCCTTAATACTCGGTATAAAATACGACATCGTCGATTATTTCGACACGTGGAACAAAATTAAGGCAGATTCCGGCGTTATAAGATTAATTGTTGCCATAATACGATTTCATCATTTTTAAACCACAAAAAGTGAAAGACCAACGCATATTAGGCAATGCGTATTTTTTAGCGGATGAATAGACTATTTGAACCAGAATATTCCATTTCAGCAAGTCGTAACAATCCAGCTAAAGTATAAAGCATAGGGATGCTAACTTTTGAGATTATACTACCAACGATAGCGGCTTCGCGACTTCTTTAATGTACTGTACGTGTACCCGACTATTCTGGTTTATACAATACTTTTTCGAGAGCCATATATAAATGGTAAATTGATAATTAATCTTTATGTTTTCATGAATGTTATCTCGGACTTTTTCGAGAAGGATGAGGTCAAAAAACCTGTTGTAAATATATACGTTATATATATACTCACTATAGCGGTACTATTAGTATACATTTATTTTATTAGGAGACAAACACCAAGCAGTGCTTATTTAGTCTTAAGAATTGAAACAAAAATTCGCGTGGCTTCAAAAGTCGCATGAGGAGTCCAATTTTCAGGATGAGTTAACAAAATTTCTTCCCAATTAGACAATTTAAAAGCTTTAGGAAGTTCTTCGGACTTATAACGCCTCAAAAAAGTGCCAACTCAAATAGATTGCAAAATTCGTTAATTCGTTCGTTATACTAATTAAATATTTGATGTAATCAACGTACTTTTATAAACTTCGACAACTTATGGATTTATAGACGGATGTTGAGACGTTACATTTAATAAATGCAACATACTTTAAATAATAATTTCGTATTACTTAATGATTGCTGATCTGAAGTTTTATTCTTGGTCAAATTTTGTGATTCAATTTTTTCCATAATCAGGTCTGTCAAAGTTTTCCTTTCCCTTTGAACATTTGGAAAAAACATTTTTAGAACTTCTTGATCCTTTTTCATCGATTTCCTATTCATGTTAATATACGCCATCATTAAGATATGCATAATTTTCGATATAAATATTAACCAATTCCTTATAATCAAAATTTTTCATCGGAATAACCTTCTTTATTTTCTCTTTCGATGAAAGTAAATATTTTTATTTTTTGATCCTTCCTATAAATAATTTGAATTGTGTAACATGGAACGCGTGATGTGTCTGCGCCTGATCTATTCTGTATTTATTAAATTTGATTGGCTATCAGAGTCACTTATCAGCCAATATATTTTTGCGGCCAAATTGCGGGAATTTATTAATTTTTGACCAAAAATTTTTTTTTTTTTTCAGTTGAAATTTTTTTTTATCTTCTCTCTTTTCCAAATAAATAAATAAAAAAAATTGATTTAATTGGTTTTCTAAACAAAAATATTTTTTTTTCGGTTTTTTTTTATTTACTTATAATAAAAGACTTTTTTTACCAATTTTTTTTTTTTTTACTATTCGTTTATTATTGTATTTATTTATTTATAATTAATACTAATAAAAAGACAATTTTTTTTATCTTCTTAGCAAAATGGTATAGTAAAAAATTTTTAATTATATAAAATATTTAATTATAAATCATACTAATGCTACTGCTATACTTTTTTCGTAAACTATGCATCAATTTTCTATAAATATAATGTAAAGTATTGTTAATACTGCAATCCAAATGCCTTCTTTTCAAGAAATTTTGAAGTTGGGGCGCCTGAACAATGTAAAAAGATCATATAAAGAAAGACAGCACTGTAACAGAAAAAGGATGGGTATAAATTTTATAGACGAGCCATAACAATTTTGAAAATGACCCGGCAACCCGGCTTTTAATTTTTTTTTTTCAAAAAATTTTATATGTGTAATTCATATGAAATTTTTTATAAAATCTTACCCGGTATAATAAATAATAATATAAAAAAAAATTTTTTTTTTTTTTTGATATAACAAAAACTGACCCGACCGAGATATGAGAACCGAAGAATTAAGTTTGTATCAATTTTTCACAATTGATTCATTTCATTATTTTAAGGTGATTCTGTATGATTATAATCCATTAATTTAATTTCACCGTAAGTTAGGCTAATAAATTGTCATAGTTCTTATGACACGTGTATTAACAAGATATATTTTATATTTAAAGTATTATCTGTTATAATGTGTTTAATAGATTATAATCTTAAAAGATTTAATTAAAATTATTTCGTTTATCTATTTTCACAAATTTAAATTTTGTAATTTTAAAGCTTTATTTAACTCTGACCAACAATTGCTTTTGTCAAAGTTAAAAGTGACATTTGATGCTAGTGATTAGCAATCATTATTATGGTATCAAAGTGATTCAAAGTCCAAATAAAAAGATCTGCCAATGTGATATTATTTATTTATTTAATTAAGTTTATGTTGGCGTGCATCAAACTTCTGTACACGAAGCATTTGGCGCTGTGAAACATTGATCATTATTCCTAATTCGGTTAATTTGTTCGGAATTTAATTCCGCCGACGTTTATTATTTAATTGTGAACAATTGTATGATTTTTTTGACTTTCTCCCTTTTAAAATTTTCCAATTTTTTTTTTTCCTACAATTAAAATAATATTTTAATATTGTGAAAAATTATATTTTATAATATTCCAATTTTAAAAAAAGATTTCAATGTTCAAACTTAATAAAGACATACTTTTCTTAATATTTGAAGAATTAAAAGATGATTCAAAATCCCTCTTTTCATGTTTAATGGTAAATAAACTTTGGTGTGAAACTATTATTCCAATTTTATGGAGAAATCCTTGGTGTCATAAAATTAATTATAATAATAAAAATTATTTGTTAGCAATTATTTCATTTTATTTATCTGATGATACTAAAGAATTCTTGATCAAGAAAGGAATTCAAATACCAACAATTTCATCTCAATCACTTTCATTTGATTATTTATCATTTTGTAGAAGTATTAATATAGATATTATAAATAATATAATTTCTATTGAATCTTCTTATAATCAATTTCTTTTACAACAAGAATTTTACAGAATATTTATAAAAAAATGTCCAGAATTAAAATATTTGGATATAAAATCTATTAAACATCAAATATTTTATTTTCCTGAAGCTAATATTCGACTTGAATCACTCTGTGAATTAGAATGTGATACATCAATTGATTCATCATACTTTTATGGATTAGCTCGTTTTTGTCAATATATACAAAGACTTATTATTATTAATATAGATCCAAAAGAAAATAATGGAATTTCTAAATTAATTGAAGTTCAAAAGAATTTAAAATATTTTGAATGGAATGATAGTTTTGAAGATAGTGATTATTTTACTGATGATCCTTATAAAGAAATACTTCTTGAATTAGAAAAAAAGGCGAATATTATTAATCATTTAAAAATATTCTTTCAATATGTAGATAATTTTAGGTATGCTTTATTACAAAATGTACTCACAAAACTTTATAAATTAAAAACCTTAATATGTGATTTTAGTATTTTTGGAGAACAAGAAGTGAAAATGTTGGTATTTAAAGATCTTGAAATTCTTAATATAAATTATATAACTTTAAATGAAGCTTCTAATATGATTGAAAATAGTGGTGGAAATCTTAAAGAAATTTTATTGAAATTTTATGATCTTTATAAATTTGATACTGATTTTGATGAAAATTCTCTTAATTTTATTCGTAAAGTTTATAAGAATTGTCCTTTAATTGAATATTTATCACTTACTTTTCCACCATTAGAAGAACATTTTGATGAATTTGAAAATTTATTAAAAAATTGTCAATATTTAAAATCTTTATTATTAATTATATCAGATATTCGTATATTTGAAACTTATGATAAAACTTTAGAAAATGGTGAAGAATTATTAAAAATTTTGGTTAGATCTGCTCCTGTTAATTTAAGAGAAATAAGATTTTTTAATGATTTTAAATTTTCTTTGGAAGCATTGGAAAATTTTTTAGAAAGTTGGAAAGGTTATGCACTTACTATACTTACATCTGATACTATTTATGAAGGTGATGATTATAAAAATTTAATTAATAAATATAAAAATGATGGAGTAATTAAAGATTTTAGATGCGAATCCACGGCAAATGTAGAAAATATTCATTTTAAGATATAAGAGAGATTAGATTTTATAATATATATCGTATTCTTTATAAAATAACATTTTTAAATTTATATAAATTTTATTTGGTCTATATGAACATATGTGCTGATGAATGAGTGTAAAGGAATTACAATATATGTATAAGTTTTATTTGATCTATTTGGTCAAAAATTAACAATATGTACTTATGAATTAGTGCAAAGGATTACAATTATTACAATATATGTAAAAATTTTATTTTTGTTAATAAACTTTGGCTTTGATTATTGTTGGCCAAAATTAAAATGAGCTACATAATACATAATATTGGCCATCGTCGATTTACCAATAATATTTAATGATAATGATACGACTGATACGTCACAAAAATTATCATGCACGAAGTTTTGGCGTAACGTTTGATCACCACGGAATATTCCTAATTTGACAATTTGGCTTCCAGCATTTTAAGGGATAAATTTTTTCGTGCATTTTTTATTTTTTTAAATTATAATTTCATTTCTTTTTAAAATTTTTCTTCGCAATTACATATTTCAATAATTTGAAAATTCGTTAAAAAATAAAATAATGTCAAAACTCAATAAAGATATTCTTTTTCTTATATTTGAAGAATTTCAGGATGATTCTAAATCCCTCTTTTCGTGTTTAATGGTAAATAAACTTTGGTGTGAAACTGTTCTCCCAATTTTATGGAAAAATCCTTGGCGTTATAATGCTATTGATTATAACAATAAAAATTATTTGTTCGCTACTATTGCTTCTTGTTTATCTGATGATATTAAAGAATTTTTGATAGACCAAGGAATCTATTTACCGTCAATTTCTTCCCGTCCACTTTTATTTGATTATTTATCATTCTGTAGAAGCATTAATATAAAAATTATAAATACTTTGATTTCTATTGGATCTTCTTTATTATCCTTTCCTTACAATCAATTTATTTTACAACAAGAATTTTACGGCCTCTTTATGAAGAAATGTCCAGAGTTGAAATATTTTGATATGAGATCAATTAAACATCAAATATTTTACTTTCCAGAAGCTAGAACTCGACTTGAATCACTTTGTGAATTAGGATGTGATACTTCTATTGAATCTTCTTACTTTTATGGTTTAGCTCGTATTTGTCAATATATACAAAGACTCATCATTTATTATGTAAAACCAAAAGACGTTCATGGAATTGCTAAATTAATTGAAGTTCAAAAGAATTTAAAGTATTTTGAATGGAATGATGATTTTGAGGGTAGTGATTATTTTGCAGATGAGCATTATAAAATAATCTTTTATGAATTAGGAAAAAAGGCAGATACTCTTAACCATTTAATACTATTTTTTATACATGATTTTGATGATTTTGATCATGCAATAATGATAAATTTGCTAACTTTACGAAAATTGAAAACTTTAATAATTAATGAATTTTGTTTTAATAATAGTAGCATATTGAAATTGTTAATTCTTAATGATCTTGAAATCCTTGAAATACGTTATATTAAATTAAGTGGAGCTTCAATCATAATTGAAAATACTGGAGGAAATCTTAAAGAAATTTCATTATCACCTCATAACTTTTTAATATATGAAGGTAATTTTACTCAAGATTCTCTCACTTTAATTCGTGTAGTTCAAGAAAATTGTCCTTTAATTGAATATTTGACACTCATAATTTTACCATCAAAAAATCATTTCATTGAATTTGAAAAATTATTAAAAGTATGTCAAAAATTGAAATCATTATTATTAGTTTTACCTACAGAAAATTTTTTAGAAAATGGTGAAGGAATATTAAATATATTAATTAGATCTGCACCTTTTAATTTAAAAGAAATTAGATTTATTGAACATTCTAAATTTTCTATTGAATCATTAAAAGATT